TCTGGATTCTCTGCAGAGGCTGAACTAGCGTCAGTGACTAAGTGAACGAATAGACACACAAGACAGGAGTTGATGGGAGAGTTAGTTTGTCTGTTGAGTGTAATGAGTTGCATTAATTTATTGTCTGGTGTGGTCATTGTTGTATAGGTCATTGTTGTGTAGACGTTGTAACTATCTACAGAGGAACAATAATGATTTTTGCGGTGCAATGTTTAAAGCGTTAGTTGCACTGGTTATACTGTTAATATCACAAGCTGCTGCTAAAACTGCTGTTGCTGCTGCTATCATAACTACTACCATTACACGCTGCTGATGCTAGTACTTGTTGTGGTAGTTGTTGCAGAAGTAGTAGTTTCCTTTGTTGTCATTGAGAAAATAATAGTAACAGTTTTTGTTGTGGAGGTGGTAGAGTAGTAGTACCAGGAGAAGTAGTAGTAGAAGTAGTAGTTGTCGTAGTGGTTGTTGTAGTGATGGTGGTGGTGGAGTTGTGGTAATAGTAGTATTAGTAGAATTCGTGAAGGTTATTGTTGTTTATGTGATGATGATAATGGTAGTAAAAGCAGTAGTGGTATAAGTATTAGTAGTTCTTCTTGTAGCTGGAGTAGTAGTAGTAGTAGTAGTAGTAGTAGTAGTAGTAGTAGTAGTAGTAGTAGTAGTAGTAGCAGTAGCAGCAGTAGTAGTAGTAGTAGTAGTAGTAGTAGTAGTAGTAGTAGTAGTAGTAGTAGTAGCAGTAGCAGCAGTAGTAGTAGTAGTAGTAGTAGTAGTAGTAGTAGTAGTAGTAGTAGTAGTAGTAGTAGTAGTAGTAGTAGTAGTAGTAGTAGTAGTAGCAGTAGCAGCAGTAGTAGTAGTAGTAGTAGTAGTAGTAGTAGTAGTAGTAGTAGTAGTAGTAGTAGTAGTAGTAGCAGTAGCAGCAGTAGTAGTAGTAGTAGTAGTAGTAGTAGTAGTAGTAGTAGTAGTAGTAGTAGTAGTAGTAGTAGTAGTAGTAGTAGCAGTAGCAGCATTAGTAGCAGTAGTAGTAGTAGTAGTAGTAGTAGTAGTAGTAGTAGTAGTAGTAGTAGTAGTAGTAGTAGGAGTAGTAGTAGTAGTAGTAGTAGTAGTAGTAGTAGTAGTAGTAGTAGTAGTAGTAGTAGTAGTAGTAGTAGTAGTAGTAGTAGTTGTAGTAGTAGTAGCTACTGTTGCAGTGTTAATAAAAATGGTAGTAAAAACTTGTTTGTGAAATCATTGTTGAGCTGATGGTAAAGTGGTTGTAGTTGTAGTAACTGGTCCTCCTATTGTCTTCCTCGTTGTTGTTGTTATTGTTGGTGTTGCTGCTGCTGCTGGTGCGGTGTTGTTGTTGTTATTGTTGTTGTTGTTGCTGGTGCTGCTGCTGCTATCTCAGGATATTTTTTATTCTAACTTTCTTCTTCAGAATATATAGCTTAAAGCAATTTTTTCCGGTTGTCAGTTTGAACAAAGAAGACAAAAAATAAAAGACAATTGATTGCCTGTCATAATTCTCGGTATCTGGTCAGATACACAGTAAGGTAACAAATAAATAAAATAAGGAAAATAGTCAATCCTTTATAGCTGAAGTAAAGATTCGATTAATCTCTAAGATAACAACTGCCTGTTTTACCAGAGCAAGCGCCACGTTTACTAACTTCTCTTTTTATTATCATAATCATTAATTCTCTTTATGCCTGAGGCACATAGGGTTTCAGAGATGACTTTCCATGCTTTCCTGTCCTGTGCAATCTTCAGTGCAGTTTTCCATGTCAGAGATGCCGCATTCAGGTCGCTCTCCATCGCTCGTCTCCATTTGTATCTGGGCGCCCCTTCTTTCTCTTTCCCTCTGGTGTCCATGAGAGAGCTGTTTTTGGCAGGTATATGAGGATTCATTCTCATAACGTAGCCAAGCCATTTCCATCTTCTCTTGGTTATTATACTGTCTAGAGTTTCTTGGTTTGTGTTCTAAAGTAGTTTAGTGTTTGAGATTGTACTTGGTTAGAAAATGTTGATAATTTTACGCAGACATGTGTTTTGAAAGGTGGATAGCTTGTGCGCATCATTTTTGGTCATTCTCCAGCATTCTGCTCCATAAAAAAAAAAACTGGCATAATGATGCTCTTGTAGAGACGAAGTTTCGTTCCTCTGCAGTAACTGCTGAATTTCCAGATTTGCCTCATTTCTATTAATAATCTACAACTGCTGTGTGAAAGGTGGATGTTTGGAACGGACCAATTCAAGACGAGCCTGCGTGTCCAATTTGTAACCCTTTGAAAATAAATTTGTTCGTTCGTTTGCCAAGTTTTTATTTTTATTAACCGGCTGTAAAATTCTGTTGTTTTGTCCGCTTCTGGACTTGTAGTTTTGTTCTAGAGATCATGTTTTACGTGGACATTCATTTTCACAGTTCTCCTTTATCTGTATAGAAATTGTTGGTTCTTTGTCTCTCAAGACAGATGCACTTCCATTTCAAAGGAAGTCCCTAATTAGTTTTGGATGGATGTCTGACGGCTTCAAGAATTCTTAGCACTCTGCCATTGGACGACTTATTATGAATTCGAAATGCACTTTTCTTGCTTACAGGATGTCCGGAGTTCAAAAGGTGCTCTGTAACGGACGATGGGTGGCCTATCCGACCGTTCACTTGGGTCATGTTTGTTAAACTACTGTTCTTCTTCTTTCTTGTTCTGCCTTTCTTACCTCCAGTGGAGCAAAGGTCCTCAGCGAACTCAAGCCAAGTCGTTAGCCACTTAGCTACATCCTTTTACAATCACGAACTATGAAATGAACGCTACGTTTAGAAAGTTTTCACCAGAACACGGCACAAACTGGCAGTGATATTATTACAAAAGAGAACAAATGAAATCGACCAGCTTTACAGTTACTTACTTGTTACTAGTGGTTCGTGTCGACATCCTAACTTATCGGTCCGACCTGTTCATGCTCTCTCCTAGTGCAGCAGCTATCTCAGTGTCGCCTTGCTAAAGGTTGGACTTAATTTTCATAAGTCTTTCTCTGACCGGCAACCGGTTTCTGCAAACTTTTCCTCGTTTAAATATTCATTTACAACAAGCAGCCCATCGTCTCTCCTCTACTGTTCCAGCATGACTGGAGATTTTGTAACTCCAACGTAAAGTGATTTTATATATACATATATATTAGCCGCCATAATAATTTCATAGTTTATAAACTGTGTAGCCGACATATCTCGACATAAAAACTCCACCTACTGGTTCAGTCAGTACATACCACTTTGTAGTCTCCTCGCCTCACCCGCCATTGGAGGAGTTTGGTGACAGACCCTTTTTCTTGAATTATCAGACAATACCCAATACTTAGTCCAGTTCAAAATCATAGACGTTATTTAAGGAAGCGGTGGTTGGATTTGATATGAAATGCAAAGTGCTGAACTGTACGTGGTGGTGGACTAGGCTCAGGGAGTCGACGACCTATCTACACCTTTTCATAGTCATCACTGAAGGAGGCTTCCAACCAGGGGCCTGGCCAGCTTAGATATGATCGACGTTTTTTTTTTTTTTTTCTTAAGTCGGAGATTTAACAATCGAAGTCAGTACACATTAGGCCTTGTCCTCCGATGCAGCAGCCACTCTGGGGTAGCTCTACTTATTGTTCCCATGGGATGTTGGTTAAAATGTCTCCTATCTCGACCGCGAACACAGCGTGGACGTGCTTACCCACGCAATCGAGTTAGTGTTAAAAGAGTTTGGTCATTATCAACTAGTTGTGTCCCTAATGATATCTGCCCAGTCTTCATACTTCTTCCCACAGGCTGAGGTGCCCTGCTTGCTAAATGGTCCGTTTCGTGATTATATTTTAGGCCGTTATTTTGGGGCGTACAGATCCACATGTATTCGGAGTGAGTCTGCCTGAGCGGCAAGGAACCAACAGTCCTCGCCATTTGAGATCTGCACAACGGATGTGGATGTAACACTCTAGTCCCGCAACAACACTAAAGTCTCAAACAAGACGAACAAAAAGGACGTTTAGTTGGAGTTTACCAACTTGTGAACGCCGCCAAGAGCAACCGTGATGATTTCATCAGTGTTATTCTGTATTTGACGTGTGGCACGTCCCAGTTGATTAGTCGGGTCATCCATGTAGAAGGCTTGAGCTACTTGTTGATCTCGTTTCTTGTAGTTGCCAGTCTAGCATCTAATCTACTGGAAACCTACAGTGTCATCAGTTAACATAATCGAACTCTGACTGGAATCATCACCATAATCATCATCATCATCAATATCATCATGCTCTCTTTCGTTTGCCATTTAAGCATCGCAATCATTGACCCCTTTTGATTCTATTGTACACATTTTTTTCTCAATATCTGGGGGTCTCTATGACGAAGTGGGTAAACTGTTTATCGCACGCTCTAAAGGTAGTGGGTTCGTTTCCCAACTTCTTTGTTTGGGTCACGAGTGCAATTTTTACAGGGCTTCTTAGGGTTCGTCGATGGAGCTATCAAGTCCCTGCTTTGTGCAACGTTCTCGACAGGCACTGAAATATTGTGCAGATTAGAGAGAGAGAGAGAGGGAGAGAGAGAGAGAGAGAGAGAGAGAGAGAGAGGGAGGGAGAGAGAGGGAGAGAGAGAGGGAGAGAGAGAGAGGGAGAGAGAGAGAGGGAGAGAGAGAGAGGGAGAGAGGGAGAGAGAGAGAGGGAGAGAGAGAGAGAGGGAGAGAGAGAGGGAGAGAGAGAGGGAGAGAGAGGGAGAGAGAGAGAGAAAGAGAGGGAGAGAGAGAGAGAGGGGGAGAGAGAGGGGGGGGGGAGAGAGAGAGGGGGAGAGAGAGAGGGAGAGAGGGAGAGAGAGAGAGCATACGAGCATGGAACAATCCTGAAATTTATAAGCGGACGAACATTCAAGACATGCCTCTGGACTTTACAGCCAATGAAGAGTAATGGCTTTGTTTAAACTGAAATGTTTCTGTTTAAAATACAAATACATTTCTTGTGTTTACTGCAACTCAAACTCCCCACTAAAGAAGTGTGTCTACTTTCAGCCGTGTCCGTTGGCGTCAGTTGTGCCACTCTGGTCGCTATCTCCCTGGAGCGATTCTACGCCATCTGCCAGCCCCTCAAGTCCCGACGCTGGCAGACCTTGAAACATTCCTACAAGGCCATCCTCGGCATCTGGTTGTCGTCTGCCACCATCATGATTCCTATAGCTGTCTTCAGTAAAGAGATGGAACTCAACAATGGAGCGATGGCCTGTAGGTAAGCTAACAGTCCACTGACATCTGAGTTGTCTTAATTTGGTAAATATTACGAAACACGTTTGTTAAGTCGCATTGAATATATCAAGCTTTTGATTTACAGGTGAGGCATGCATGCGACGGCTTTAATCGAACTTACACTTCCCATTGCAAAGAGTACAGGTGCAATATTTTTACTACTTGTGGGTAGATAGGTGTTTTGCTGGGGGAAAAAAATCGTCGCGCCCAACCAACATCCCCGAAGGGTAGCTTTAGGTTATAATTGTGACTTGCTTATGTGCGCCACATAAAATAGCTTAGCATTGCTCGCCCCAAAAAGCCTTGAAAAGACTCCTGCAGTGTTGACGCGATCAAAGGAGACAGAACAATATATTTTCTCGATCGGCGACGAAGTCGTCTACCGGCGATCAAATCGGTGACCCGGTCTCCGATTATTTACTTTTTGTGATTGATTGATTGACGCTCAACCCCACCGGGACATCACACCGCGCGGTAAACAACTGGCGACACAAAGTGCCACCGTTCGGATGAGGACCATCCTGGGACAGGTCCCGGACACCCCGTTCAACACGCATGCTGGGTTATATCAGAGCTTCCTGCAACGGCCGGGGTAAGGCTTTGAAAATAATGAAAATTGCGTCCCGTATTGGTTACTTTTAAGTTTTTATAACAAATACACCGGTTTACGTCTGCCCGACCACGCATAGTTTGTTGACAGTAGGAGCAAAAAGAATGCTTGCAGGATTCTTGCGCCACTCATGCAAAAGCTGTAACGTGTGAGAGCTAAAGGTTACTTATACTACTATGCTAGCTGCGCTCGCAGCTTCGTTCTCAACAACGAAGCCACAAGAACGTAAATGTCCTGTAATACCCTCTCCAATGTAATCGTTGCCCTTCAAAACTTAATTTTGTCTAAAACACTTACACGTGCAAATTTATCCATCCTCGCTGCTGCTACAAGATTTCCGAATAGTGTGCACTTGATAAAGGAAATGAGGAATATACTGTAAGCCATATCTGATATGTGTGAGTCGCCGTGGTGAAGCGGTTAGACGCTCGCCAGCGGATCGGGAGGTCCTGGCGACATCACATTATGAGTGCTGATTGGTTTATAATATAGGTCTAGCCCTGTGTGCCCAATATGCCTGAAGGTGTGTAAAGGGATCTTTTACTTTGCTTACATATCTGATTTATTTACAACACTAAATGATGTGGAAGGTGATAATGACGACAACGATTTTTTTCTTCTTTTTCTACTTTCGTTCGCTTGAAATAAATTATATCTATATCTGCAATGTTGTCTCTAGTATGAACTTCACTGTCTTTTGTAATTCACTCAGCGACACGTACATTTTGACTTGTATCGATGTTTCTCTTGGTCAAAAGTTTTGACTTGAAATGTTGTATTAGGGACAGTCTTGGAGGACATGATCTGTTGTCTCAGGTGCCAGTCCGCATGTGTACATGGCTGATTCGTCGATGTTAAATGTTGTATACATGTGGCTGTGAAGTCGATTGTGTCCTGTTCTAAGGCGTAGAATAAAAACCTGCTCTGGTCTTTCTATAAAATGGTAATCGTTTTTGTGCCGGTTTTGGATGATTTCTGATTGATTTGATACCACGATGATGATGCAACGATGTTGATAACAACGATGATGATAAAAGCGATTATGACACTGATGATGATGATAACAACGATGATGACAACAATGATAATGATGATGACGACATCGATGATAACGATGCCAACTTAAAGATGATGACAACGATGATAATGACAGCGATGATAATGACAATAAAGATGATGTCAAAGATGATGATGATGACTAGGATGATAATGACAACGATGATGAAGATAATGACATTGATGATGATGACAACGATGATGATAATAATAACGATGATGATGACAACGATAATGTTGCTGACAACGATGATGATGATGACAACGATGATGATGATGACAAAGATGATGACAATGATGACGATGACATCGATGATAATGATGACAACGATGATGTTGCTGACAACGATGATGTGGATGACAACGATGATGATGATAATGAAGATGATGACAACGATGAGGATGACAACGATGATGATGATGACAACGATAATGTTACTGACAACGATGATGTGGATGACAACGATGATGATGATAATGAAGATGATGACAACGACGAGGATGACAACGATGATGATGATAACGATGATGATGATGATGACAACGATGATGTAGATGACAACGATGATGACAGCGCTGTTGAATATGATGTGGATGACAACGATGATGATGATAAGGAAGATGCTGACAACGATAATGATGACAACGATGATGATGACAACGATAGTGATGATGATGATGATGATGATGATGATGATGATGATGACAATGATGATGACAACGATGATGACAACACTGATGACGATGACAGCGATAATGATGATAATAACGATGATGGTGATGACAAAGATGTCAATGATAATAATGATGATAACGATAACGACGATGAAGTTGATGTTAATGCTGCTGACGATGATAATGACGATGCTGTTGTTGATTTCATTGTCATGTTGTGCCATGATAGTCACTTAGGGCTTGCAGTCTATTCTTCCATTCTGCTCTATTCTGTGCAATCACTTCGATGTCATGGATAAAATCCAGTCTAGCACCTTTGGCCTCTCTCATCAACGTTCGTTTAAGGGTTTCTCTTTTCTCTTGGACATCTTTGTTTCCTCAAAATCTCTATTTCCCATTGCAGTGCCTGTTTTGTGTTTTCTGTTCGTCTTATCTCAGGAGATGTCCAGCAAATCGCCATCTTCTCTGTGTTATAACGTGTTATACTTGTGACTGCATAGATGATGATGGTGATAAATCTTATTTGTTACTGTTACAGAGAACTGTGGCCCGGTGGAGTTTGGGAACGACTCTATACAATAGTTCTGGACGCGGTTCTCCTGGTGGTGCCGCTCTTTGTCATGGCCTTCTCCTATGGGAGGATCTCCCGAGACCTGTGGTCAGAGATCACCATCTCGGAAGGCAGTGATCCTAAGAGCCCCATATCAGGTACAACCCAATGTCTGTAGTTTATATATTCGATGTATCACCATCTCGGAAGGCAGTGATCCAAAGAGCCCTATATCAGGTACAACCCAATGTCTGTAGTTTATATGTTCGATGTATCATCATCTCGGAAGGCAGTGATCCAAAGAGCCCTATATAAGGTACAACCCAATGTCTGTAGTTTATATGTTCGATGTATCATCATCTCGGAAGGCAGTGATCCAAAGAGCCCTATATCAGGTACAACCCAATGTCTGTAGTTTATATGTTCGATGTATCATCTATTGTGTTTGTAGCTTTGCTTGATACCAAGCATAAGGTCAAAAGAAATAAAAAAGAATGCTAAACGTAAAATAATTAATTCTAATGTCAAATCAGTACTGTTGTATGAAGCGGAAAACTAAGGATAACAAAGGCAATTATTATTAAACTACAAACATTCATTAAATGGTGCTGGGCAGAACAGTGAGAATTAAATGGTATGATATTCTGACGTCGGTGTAATGCTGACCACATTACCCACCCAGTGCCGATAGGTCTGTAAAAATCTGGGACGCTCTTCCCATATGCCCGATGCGCCTAAGGCGTGAAAAGGGATCTTGACTTTTTCTTATTATGACGTCACAGTGTTCGTCTGGATCGTGATGCCACGTACTTAACACTCTTGACATCCTTAACAACTACATTGACAGGTTAAAAGACAATAGCCTGGTTATTTTATTTGCTGGCACACTTATACTTTGTTTTTTGAAGATATAGAAACAGCATAGTATCACCATATTCCCATTTCGCCGGTAGCCTGGAAAGGAATCTAGTCATTATGCAAGGTAGATAAGCCAAAAATATATCTCATTGACGACTATATTGGCTTGTCTACCTTGATAAAAGAATAATTGTTATTTTTTTTTTTTTTTATAATTCTGTATTCCGGATTGACTTTGTTGTTTCTTGTAGAAGCTTGTTTCTTCTGAGTTGTCCGTTGTTTTGATTTTGATGTTTTTATTTATTTGGTAATATTTTTTTTTTTTTTTAATAATTTTGTTTTCATGTTGTTATTGCTTTTGTTATGTAATTCTGAGAATGACCTTAAAGTACTTGGCATCTCCTTGAGGGATGTAATTTTTCGTTATTTTGAAGCCCTACCTTGGCTCTTGCCAGGGGCCGCAATATAGCCCGGCCATAATTATGGTCTAATGGCTGAACGCGGTTTCTGGGACCTCTCCATGGGTCAACCTCATCCACATGGTGGCACTCTGTGTCATCGGTTGTTTATCGCTTGTGTGATGTCCTGGTGGCGTAGAGGGTCAGTCTTAAATACTCTCCGTCCCCATGTGAACGAATTTGATGCCCCACCCTGGTTGTTGCCAGGGGCCATAATATAAACTAACGGTTGAACGGGGTTTCTAGAACCTCTCCATGGGTCTTCCTCATCCGAATGGTGGAACTTAGTTTCACGGGTGTTTATCGCTCAGTGTGATGTCTTAGTGGTGAAACAAGTCAGTCAGAATAAAACTGCCAACTAAAAATGGCACAGTGTATCATATATATATATATATATATATATATATATATATATATATATATATATATATATATATATATATATATATATATATATATATATATATATATATATATATATATATATATATATTAGTGTGTATGTATACAAGTGTGTGTTACCGGTGCGCCACTGCAACTAAAACATTGAGATTGTGGTATAAGCCCCACCCCCCTTTCCCATAAAGCTAACCATGCTTAGAAACTACCTTTTAAAGTGTTTGTTTGTATAATAATATGCTTGAAATGTTTAAACAAAGACTTTTGAAGACAATTACATCGCATGCTTGAAATACACTTAGGGCAGTCTTTATTTATACTTCTTTTTTTCCAAGTTTTGCTAATTTGTTCCATTCTTTCTATCAGTCTTTGTCATTTTTTATGTTTATTATATATATATATATATATATATATATATATATATATATATATATATATATATATATATATATATACACACACACACACACACAAACTTCTTTCTTCTACTGTTTCTCTGTGTGCTTTTCTTTCTGCTTTGTCTCTCTCAATCTATCTCTCTCTCAATCTCTCTCGCTCTCTCTCTCTCTCTCTCTCTCTCTCTCTCTCTCTCTCTCTCTCTCTCTCTCTCTCTCTCTCTCGCTCACCCTGTCATTTTTGGCTCTGTTTTTCTCTGTCAATTTCAGCTTCTTTTCTATGTTATTCATTCAGCTTTGCATACTTCCACAGAATACGACTTCCAGCTCAATGGGAAGGACTCCCAGGACGGCTACACCACTCCTCCACCTCATTCACCGCTGCTTTCCTTCAGGAACATCTCCCTCTCCAGCCCAACAGAGCCACACAACGCCAAGCTCAAGCTGCGAATCATGCGACCAGCCCAGAACCTCCGCCTTCTGGCCAACAAGAAACGCGTCGTCAAGATGCTCTTCGTGGTAGTTCTGGAGTACTTTATTTGCTGGACACCGCTGAATGTTCTCAATACTTGGACGGTGTTCGACTACTTAAGTGCCCGGGATCATCTCACGCCGTTATCGAAAACGATAATTCTACTTGTGGCTTACATGTCTTCTTGTGTCCATCCAATTACCTATTGTTTCATGAACAAAAGATTCAGGCAAAGTTTTCTTGAAGCTTTCAAATGTTGCTTTCGAAAGAAGACAGCATCGTGTGCCTTCTACAGTGAGGCTTCTCATTTAAACGGGATCTCGGACGTTCTGTCAATTAGATCTGCTTCAGCTCATTTTAAAATTACATGGAAAAGACAAACGTAATTAATTTGCTTCTTGTCATTTGAGTGATTGGAAGAAATTATTAAAAGCTTACACGCGTAGAAATAACACGAGTGTGATGCTTGAGTAAAGTCTTCAGCTGAACCCTTGGAGACTCAGTGAGGTATGATGCTTTTTTGACAGATCCTGCTAACAATACCCCAAGGAGAAGATTAAATGGTTCTGCCAGCTCGTTAGATTATAATTACAACCATTACCAAAGCAGACGCTACACCTAAAATGTTCACCTAAACATATTTAAAAAATATTATTGGTTTTGTACATTCCTAATGACTCACTATCAACTGACCCCAATTTTGAAACAACGAGCTATCTTAAGAGACACAAAAAGACTGTGTGCTTTCAGTTTCAGACTTGGACATTGATTGTGAAACAGGGAAGAAGACTGTTTACTTACGAAATGAGATGTTTGAAAAATGGAAGAGATCATGTGAGAAAAGATAAAAATTACGAGAACTATTAGAACAACGCCTGTAATTAACTACGTTGACAAATAATTTCACAGTTTAGAGTTTTACTTTTTAAACAGAATGAATCCATAACGGCAGCAGCGAGAGCGTACACAATGAAAGTAGAAACATCAGGAGGCAGTGGATGACCATGAACAAAATGGACTGAAGGAGCCACTGTTACACTGAGACTCCTCAATTTCACAGCAAAACCGTAACCAAGCGTGCTCTAGCTCGGATACCAATTGTCTGTTAACCTTCGACACCTAGCGACACAAAGCAAGAAATGGACAAAAGAAGAAAGAAAAGACAATAAAAGAAGAAAAGAAATTAAAAACGTGGCACTAGCAAACTGTTTTGTCACACGACATTTCACGACCGAAATTGTATCTGTTATTTTTAAAAAGTCTTGGTATTGAAGTGGGTAGGATGGGCGGGGAGGGGCGGGAAGTGGAAGAGGTGTCTCGGTGGTGAAGTTACCGAGTCGTTTGCCTTTTGTTCTGAATGTAGTGGGTTCGTTTCTCGGCTGTGCCCTTCAGTTTCACGAGTGCAATTCTTTACCCGAGATCCATGGTTCTCTTGGCGGGCTGCTAGCGGTTCTGTGGAAATAGGCCGTACCATATGAGATAAAAACGGGTGCAATGAAGTTGACCCTCTTGACCTAAACTTCTTAAACTTCTAGTATAAGTCAGCTTCATGCCGGGCACCTTTACCTCCCAGGAGATTACCTAGTACCCATTTTAGGCTGAGTCGACCAAGGAGCAAGGTCAGTTCATCTGCCTCGTTTCGGCTTCGAACCCAATACCCCCTGGACAGCAGGCGGATATCTCGACAGCGCGGCTTTGTTTATTGTCATGGATTGGTGTTTGATGTGAAAATCAGAAGAGAAACTAGCGATATGTATTTATGTTTGTATAACTGGGTTGCTCTCTTTTTGTCCCAGGAATTCTAAAGTTTGTTATATAAAGCCCCCATCTCTAAGGCCTCACGAAATTGTCTGAATTGTTATTAATTGTCCATATGTATGTGTGTGTGTGTGCGTGCGTACGTGCGTGTGAGTGTGTGTGTGTGTGTGTGTGTGTGTGTGTGTGTGTTTGTGTGCATATAGTTTTTTATTACTTGTGGTATGTGTCTGTTTATTCCCACAATAGTCTACCGTATTCCTTTCAGCTACAGATTTGCATGTTTAGAACACAAGTTGACCAAAGAGTACCACTGCTGATCTGTAAGTATTAAGCGGTAATGCCCAAAATTAATTTGAATATAAACATAGGAAAAAGTCAACAAGGGGTAAGGAAATCAGAAAAATGTCTGGGCAACCACTGGTAACAATGTTCATAAGACAAAGAGGATAGCGCTATATTGGACAAATCTTGAGAAGATACAAACACACAATCACCAAGCAGGCACTTCTTCTTCTACCTATCTAGCCCCAATGGAGCATAGGCCCTCAACTAACTAACGCCATGTCGTTCTATCCTTTGTTATCGCATGTAGCACTCCTCACCACCTCAACATCTTTCTAACTTCATTCTCCAGCTCCCTTTCCTTTTTTTTTTTTTTTTTTTTTTTGGTGTTTGGTGGTTGGGGGGGTCGGGGGGGGGGGGGGGTATTTATTCCTTTGCCCCTGTGGGTTTTAATGCAAAGACTTGCTAGTTATATTGTTATCCGGTTTTCTCAATGTGTGTCCTATCCAAGCCAGCGTCTTTTCTTCACCTTTTGGTCCACTGGAGCTTGCTCTGCTCTGTCGCAAAGCTCTACAATAGTGATTCTATCATACCATCTATGTCCCCCTATTCTGCGCAGGCACCAGTTAATGAATGTCTGTAGTTTTTAGTTGTTCTCCATATATTTTTGCCCTATACAAAAGTATTGATTTGACTTTAGAATAAAAAAAAAAAAAAAACGAACACATAGTCACCAAACAGGCACTAAAATGCGAAAACATCCATAAATGTAAGGGATTGTACAGGATAGAATAGAGTGGGGGAATATACTGCAAACCCTGTGTGACATATAATGGCCCAACAGCAAATGAATGTTTGATGTCCCACATTATACCACAGTGCCACTGTCGCATCAGAGTCTGAAACCAGAGAACTTTTTTTTCAATGAGCCGTCCACCACGAATACTGAACCCTAGTACTCGAGAATCATCAAGCATTCACTAAACTGTAATCCACAGCAGCCACATAAAGTTATCTTGCCTCTCTCTCAAGATCTCATTAGAGACTTGTGACACTGAGCCTGCTACGTGGACATGCAACAGTTCTTCATTCCACTCATCTCGTCGTCAGGGTGCGTTGGTGTGTCAACCACCTAGAACAACAGCAGCAGCTCAACAGAGACAACTCGGAAAAGGCCAAGACTCTTAACTGGTGGAGCTCAAATCCCCCACCAACACAGTGCCGAAACATAATCAGTAACCCACCGACTCATAATTATTGAAACATCCAAACATGACTGCCAAGAAACAAATTAACATTCATGAAAAGCGATGCCCGAGGCAAGCCGTAAAGCTTAACCATCCAAGACAGAGTTGAGTTGAATTGGGCTGAGTAAAGAATTGACATCACGGGACTCGGGACAGTCCCATACGCGCTCCATCCCCATCCTCAGTAGTCATCGCAGAGTTCGATTGCCAATGGTGTCAGTCGTAGTCTGGTTGTATGTCCGTCATGCCTTTCCTCTGAGAGCCGTGTGCCGGCCGAACCCTCTAGCCACACCCAGGGGCATCGTTCTCTCTAGCCAGTGTTAATCTAGTTTCTCTGCTGACTTTGTTGCTTGTTCCCAAAGGACTTTGACACCCGAGACAAAGTGAGAAAATATACTATCAGACAGACTGGGGGAGCATCACGATACAGCTAATTCACTGAGAAATAGAAGATTCAATGGTTTGATCATCTCGTTAGAATGCAGGCATCATAACCACCAATACAGGCGCTAGAGGTAAGACCAAATCGATGAGAATGGGAGTAGCGACAACTCTATATTTCATTAGAAGATAACAGGTAAAATGGTTCGGTCATATAACGTGGACGTGAGCAATCGGTATACCACAGCAAGCGATGATGTACAGACCAGACGGGAAACGAAGAAGAGGCCGACCATGCAGACTGTAGACAGAGGGAATCACAGACTTCCTGGAAATCCCCATTAAAGAAGCGCATAAATGGTCACTTTTCCGTAAATTATACTTCACGTCGGCACCGCAAGGTACAAGAGGATCAAGATGAAATTAGATGGGCACTACAAATATAGATATACTATGTGAAAGCGAGAGGTCACCCTAGAAGATAATGGACTGATGACATTAAAGATCTATATTGATAGGGCATGACAATAACCAGTGCTGCCCGTCAAGAAATTGATCACAAACTGTTTCTTTCCACGGCGCTTAACAGCAAAATTTCAAACTGATGATGATGATGATGACCTACTCACAAACTACACTCTGCTTAGTGAATGCAAAGGTCTCCGGCTAAATGAGGATTGCGAACGCGGTTTACGTAGATTCGGAATATCTCTTTCGATTCAGCTGCAGACAGTGTTGATCACGGGCCGCCTTGCGTTGATTTCTTCAACCGTATGGAGGAAACACTGTTAGAAAGTAATGGCAAACTACTGAACGTAAGATTTCCTAGTAGCCTCTTAAAAAATTAACAAACGTTTAGGTAAGTGTGTAGCATACTATGTAAAGCATAAGGAACTAACAGTTTGCGTAAACAGCATACGGTGATCAAACCATGCGCTACTCCTTAGGAAATCATTTCATTTACAGATTTGGGATTTATCAACCCTGTAGGGATCAATCTTCAGCACAGCTCTTTAATTATAAATATATAGTAATTTTTTGCTGTAAATATGCATTTTTTTTTTAACGCATTCTTACTTTTTTCGTTTTGAAATATATTTCCTCATTTGCATATTTTTCCATTATATATTGCAATGAATCAAACCCTTGTGTGATGCAATTTTTCGTTAATTTGAAGCTCCACCCTGGCTTTTGCAAGGGGCCGCAATATAGCCCGGCCATAAATATGGTCTAATGGCTGAACGCGGTTTTTGGGACCTCTCCACGGGTGATCCTCATCTGCATGGTGGCACTTTGTGTCATCGGGTGTTTATCGCTTCTGTGATGTTCTGGTAGGGTAAAATGTACTACTGCTACTAATTTTTCCATTACGTTTTTCTGGTTTAGTGACGGCATTGATTGTTTACAAGCTGTGTTGATTGATTGACGTTTAACCCCACAAGGTCATCACACCGAGGGATATACACCCGGTGATGCAAAGTGTCACCATTCGAATGAGGATCACCCCGGACAAGTTCCAGAGACCCCGTCCAACCCATAGGTCTGAGTGGGGCTTTTAAAAAACGAAAATATTGCATCCAATGTAGGGACGGTTGTGTTGATTACAAGCTCTGTGGCCGTATCTGCTGAGTTTACTTGTCACAATTTGTATCGTATTTTAGTACTCAGTTGATAAGTCTTTTGTCTAAATGTTAGGTTGTATTCGTGACCTTTTTTTT